GGCGGCGATCTTCACGGTCTGTTGTTCTACGGCGGCGTCCAGTGCCCCTTGCTCTTTGCGTACGGCCTTCTCGAAGCCATGCCTGACAACACTTAACCACAGTGTCTACACTTCTTTGCACTCTAACTGCAATTGCCCGAAAAGAAAGTCCAGCTTCCCGAAGTCCCACTATACGGCCCCTATCAAACTCACTAAGTTGACGAAATCGTACAGGTCTCCGTACTCTAGGCATCGTACCGATCGTAAAGGATGTCAAGAACCAAAATCTGCCAACATTGATTCTTTACTGCGGCTGAAATATTCATTTTTAGAGTGTGAGTGAATTAAAAAAAGCAGTATAAACACCGGAATGTCCAACTGATAAGGCTGAAAATTTTTTCACTTGTTATTTACAGTAAAACAAATACATTCACCAACTTTTATTAAAATAAAACCATTTAAACTGGGTGTTCGGATTTATATGTCACTTAGTATATAACGTCCAGTAGTTCATTTTTTTTGTCAACATGGATCATTTTTTGCACAAAATAATCAGACAAATGAACGTATAGGCACTATTAAAAGACTGATACAACTGATTGAATCAAAAACTCGTAGTGAAGATAATAAAATAAACGGCCTTATTGGCGGAACTTAGAAAAGCTATTCTTACACTCAACCTTTCTGAAAACTAAATCTCAATACTAGTTAAAAACCATACAATAACAAAAAAAGATTGCCAAATTTGGGTAAACGATAAGAGTACTAAACAAAAAACGAGAGATTTAACACAGCAGTGGTCGAGAATATCGAAAAATCTGTGTAATAACATTCTTTTTTTTAAATGTTTAATATTTCACTATTTCTTTTATTATGCAACTTTTACATAGGTGATTTTTTATATATCAACTTTTTTTGACGACTTCTACAAACTACTATACAGGGTGACTTTGAAGTTGAGTCATTAATTTTCAGATAATGATTGTAGAAGGGAGATAAACCAAAATATGTGTGTAAAAATAAAAAAAAAAATGTTACATTGTTTTATAAAGTATCCTTCCGACAAGTATTTCAGTGCGGACCTGTATTTGATCGTGCGGTCTTGGAGCACCGGCATGCTCTCCCCTGTGAGGTCTTAAGTCACCTGATTCACGAGCCCTTTGTACTACATTAACAAAGGCACGAAGGGTTGGTTGCAATCGATTGGGAAACCGATCCGCATAAATCCGTGATGCCGCGTGAATAAGAATCATGTCCACAAGTTCAGCATTTTCGTAAACATGTGCCATTTTTGATTTCGTTTGAGCCACGCAACAGACATCACTATTCACTCACGCATTACCGACTGACACTGACTGTATACAACTGAATAAAATAATTGTAAAAACATCGTTCCGAATTCTTTCGTTTTTTTGTTTCCGATGGGATGAACCGATAAGGCGGATTATATCCGTTGTCGCCAAACACGAGCACATAATATTATTATTGAGACAGGGCGGTACTCAAACTTCCAAAGGGCTATAACTTTGTTACTTTAATTTTACCAGAAAAATGGTAAAGGAAAAAAACATTTCTTTTGATCAGATCTACTCACTGTTAAAATAAATGACTCAACTTCGAAGTCACCCTGTATATAAATATATGACTCAGGTTTGAAAACACTCTGTATATACAATTGGCGATCTATATTGAAAAAAATATTGGGAAAAGGTATGTACATACTTATTCTGAAGTTAAAATGGCTTGGGGACTCAAAGAGGAAAATGATCAAAACAATTAACAAACTAATTTTGTATTTTAAGAAAAAATCTTCGTTGTTTTTTCACATAATCAACTAATTTGCATGTAGCTTTTCTTTGCTTGTTTGCATGTTTTTTTTGTTGGTTGTGATTGATTTTCTTTAACATCTTTAGATTACTTTAAGATTAGAATAAATATTCAAATAGTCTATGAGCCATTATGGGATTATCTCAAAAATGTAGAAACTCGTTTAGAGCTAAGAAGTACCTTTAACTGTAATGTGTAAAATGAAAATCCGTAAAAAGTCAGTCTTACTTTGGCCAGTTGTATTTTGCAAGTATTTTACATGTGTGATGTGACAAGTGGATTTACGAGGGCGGTCCGATAAGTACTTAGCCTACAAAAGAAAAACGAAAACTTTGGAAAAGTGCCGATTTATTTCACAACATAGTCTACTTGTAGCTCGTTACAGTTGACCCATGCTCCATCTTCTTCGACCCGTCTGAAAAATACGTTTTTTGGAGGTCTGCAGGCGATAACCTCCTCATTCGACTAAAATTTTTTAATCGTGATTTTTTTTCACGTTATCCCCCGGGGTACCTGTGTGCGTAGTTCATCAAAAACCGACGTGCCACCTCGTTGAAACTCGCTATCGAAGGAGAACAGACACGGTACACAGCTGCGCGATTTCCCTTCCAAAAACGAGAATCGAATATTGCTCTTTTTCCATTTTTCTAAAATTCCACGCGCGGTCAAAACAAAACTACGCGTCCGATAACCGGAAATTTCAATACACGATAGTAAATTTTACTTGTGATAGTGGCGCCATCGGGCGGTGAGGCTAAGTACTTATCGGACCGCTCTCGTACTAGTCAGATCGTTATTGTGGTAGAACGTAGAACTACGTAGTTTTTGTAATGAATAGTAGATGGATTCAGTGAAGTATGTGATTGAAAAAGGAAGTTATGACCAATGCATTAAATCCACAATCCCCTGCAGCATGAAATTGTTTGTTAATGAACGCAAGTTCTTTGGGCATTAAAATAAGCCGACATTTTGTAGATATGAGGTGGATAACCAAGATAATTCAAAACTAAATTAGTATGTTTTAGAAAATATATAATATATATAGGTGAAAAATTAAAGCTTCCGCTTTTTGTTGGGTACTTCGACAAAATTTAAGCAAGGAGGACTCTTTATACTTTTTTTAATTCTCTCTAGCTTTCAATGGACTTTGCCATCATCATCAGGAGCTGCAATTACAATGATAACAGTAGCAACAAAAGTGTAAAATGAATTTAAATTGAATCAACTTACAGTAGTATGTGAGGATGTTGCTAATTGTTGTTTTCGTATACGATGAGGGAAACGTCCAGTAACATGGTGAGAGCTGGATACATGGTACAATGGTTAAAATTATATAAAATATGACAAGACAAGTTAATGACAGATTAAAAATTATTTAGAAAACATTAGAGCATTACGTCGTGAAGCCACTTGATGATTGCACAAAATGGTGGTCATGGAATAATGAGTGAGATGAACATTTGACAGAAGGCCGAAGGTTGTCAATGTCTGTGTTGAAAGATGGAACGAATTGTGGGCGTGTGCCAATACGTTGCCAAATCACTTCAGATGATGTGATTTTCAGAATGTTATGTAAGAAATTGTTAAACCGACCAGAGGCAGTTGAATAAACTATAATTTGATTAATGGGAATTTTAAATTAATAATTATTAATAAATCGTGAGAAGAGAATTATTAGATTTTGAGTGGAATGAAATTTGTTGGTGGAATCGGCCAAAACACAGATTATATTTATGGTTGTGAAAAGTCGAAATTTGGGGAGATATGTAAGTTCTCCAATTTTTCGCAGTTTAGCAAATATGAGTAAATGACACTCAGTTGTTTAATATCTGCCTTTTTGTTGATACAGTTGTTATTCATGAAAATGTGGGACATTTCCAGGAATAAACGTTTGGAAAGGTGTTTTTCTTTATCAAGAACTTTGATACTTTTCACAACCATAAATATAATCTGTGTTTTGGCCGATTCCACCAACAAATTTCATTCCACTCAAAATCTAATAATTCTCTTCTCACGATTTATTAATAATTGTTAATTTAAAATTCCCATTAATTAAAATATATTTTATTCAACTGCCTCTGGTCGGTTTAACAATTTCTTACATAACATTCTGAAAATCACGTCATCTGAAGTGATTTGGCAACGTATTGGCACACGCCCACAATTCGTTCCATCTTTCAACACAGACATTGACAACCTTCGGCCTTCTGTCAAAGGTTCATCTCACTCATTATTCCATGACCACCATTTTGTGCAATCATCAAGTGGCTTCACGACGTAATGCTCTAATGTTTTCTAAATAATTTTTAATCTGTCATTAACTTGTCTTGTCATATTTTATATAATTTTAACCATTGTACCATGTATCCAGCTCTCACCATGTTACTGGACGTTTCCCTCATCGTATACAAAAACAACAATTAGCAACATCCTCACATACTACTGTAAGTTGATTCAATTTAAATTCATTTTACACTTTTGTTCCTACTGTTATCATTGTAATTGCAGCTCCTGATGATGATGGCAAAGTCCATTGAAAGCTAGAGAGAATTAAAAAAAGTATAAAGAGTCCTCTTTGCTTAAATTTTGTCGAAGTACCCAACAAAAAGCGGAAGCTTTAATTTTTCACCTAACTGGTCTAGACGACAATGACCACGTCTCAAGTTATAATATATATATATATGTATATAATAACTTCCATTGTTCCATATACGAATAAAGTAAAGCTATGTAGCTTTAGTGACAAACATCTCATTTATTCTTATATAGAACTCCTAAAGTGGTCAAAGTTACACTTTTTTGGCAACACACTAGTTTACTAAGTTTTACGTAAATAATAATAAAGCTCGTTTATAGATTCATCAGTTCTGCACGAACATTTTTTCAGCTCAAAGATCAAGCTTTTCAAAAATACCATTGCTGAATTCTTTACGTGACACCCCAATTGGTTCATAAGCTGTCAAAATTTCGTCGAATTATTCAATGTTCTTCAAGGGTTATCAAAGAAAAAACGAAATCTAAGGAATTTTTTTCCTAGAGGCTGACGTCATTTTACGTAGCATTAAACTATTAGTCTTCCACACCATATACAATATGAACATACTTCACTGAAATACCCAGTTTTGCCTATGGTTCTTCTTCTACATAGTTTAATTATTTTCGCAATCTTGATACAACTTGTCGTCTTTTTCCAGAAAGCGCCAGACCCGTTGCAGTCAACCAGCCGCTCACCAGCATCCAAAGTTCAGTACCTGGTCAGCCCACCCTAAGGGCGGATAACCCTCGAGACATGTACCGCTACGGAGACCCAATGTACGCGGGCCTTTACAATCGATACTATCTGCCAGACGGCAACATGTACTCCACACTTCCCTCCAAGAAGACCCAGTACTTCACGCACGACATCACTGCAGAGAGATCTGTCACGCCTGACATCACCAGGGGATTGGAAAGGAATTTTCACTGCGAAGACAACCGATCCTTGCCTAGGAATATGTATAGGAATAATCAAAGGATGGGTATTCCGGTCCGGATGCCCGATTTGAACCGTTTGAATTTACAAGTGCCTTTACAAACTCCAAAAAGTTATGAGGATTTAGCAGAGCCTCTGAAAATATCGCCTATCGATCCTAGGCATTCTGGCAGCTTCCAATCTTCAACTCCCTCGAATAAAACAGAGCTGAAAGCTGCTTCGAACTTGGAAAACAAACTCCTTTCTCCGAAAAAATCCACGATGTCAAACGAGGAGTTGTACGCTGTTATACATAAAAGCAAAAAGAAGATGAATATTGAAGATGTTACGCCGAGGTCTTCCCCCGTTACTGTACAGGAAGAAACACCTGTAAGGCAGACGATCAAGTCTCCGGAAACGGGATATCTAGATCGACCTAGATCGCGTCTAAGTTGGTCACCTAGCAAAGGAGAATATGTGGAATTTAACAACGATATCGACAAATTTTCACCTCCAAACGAGTCTAGGAGTAGGCAAAGTTGGGCTTGCACTGACAGAAAACCAAAAGTGAAGCAAACCTCCACCATAGACTTCAAACGACTTTTGCTGCAAAAGTCGACCACGACTCCTCCCAAAAAGATATCTGCCGTCGAACAGTTGAAGTTGTCCAAACAGCATACCCAACCACTTCAAAAACAGAAATCTTCCTTGCCGGAAATGAACATTTTGGATCTCAGCGGTTCCCCGAGGAACTTGGCCAACAGAAGGTTCGGTAACAACCTTCCGGGTTCCCCGAATAGGGATCCGAAACCGGGCGCGAAACTCCTTTCGCCCCGTTCTCAATGGAGGTTCGCCAGCCCGAGAAGCGACGTTCTCTCCTCTACAATACTTGAAGATTGTAGAGAAGACGAGAACAGTTCGAATACTTCCGGTGAAAAGTCCAACAGGTCTTCGCCTAGAAGTGCTAGTCGAAACAGCAACACGTCTTCGCATAGTGACAGTAAGACTTCCTCTTCCCCTTCTTCTTGCCACAAAGGAATGCCTAGGAATTCAGAGGCTCAAAAGTCCTATAATTCAGCTAGCCAAAGACTGTACGATCTGAGAGCGCAGTTTTTCCAACAGAACGCGGCTCAAAGTAAGCAAAGAGTCGAGGAGAAACCTCCACTCGAAACTTCGTTCTAGTTTTGTACAAAGTAGGTTTTTGTAATTGTGTACATATTTTCCGTCTTTCGACGTATATATGATGACTGAGATACACTGTTTTTATGCTATATATTTACAGATTTCTATATTATCGTACTTTTTTAATTTATTGTAAATCATAATATATAACGAGTTTTTTGTAAATAAATGTGTTGATTGCTATATTTCAGGTGTATTTTCTGTTCGATGATCCTCTACTTACGAAAGTAAATCGAAATTACAAAAACGAAATCAATAAATTGACACCAGGATATATACCTTAAGCTTTAAAAGAACTATGAAGTTCTATTAATTTCTTGTATCTAGACATTCTCTGTTTGTACAAAAATTTACATAGAATATAGCACAAAAAAGTTATATGATATAAATCGTAGAAAATACAACCAAATTGGAGATACGGGTCATAATTCAAATTTTAATGAACATTCAAAATATTGGAACAAAACCACGTCTATGCAACCCTTTACGCTTGACTTGAAACACTGCTGTCTATCTTACGAATTACACATCCAATCGATTGTGCAAATGTTAACGGAAAAAATACCTCCAAAAACAATTCGCATTAGAACTAAATTATAAAGAAAAGTAAAGAAGGATAATTTGATGATAATAGGGAGTTATTGAACGTCAGGTACTAATAATTCCTGGCCGTATTTGACATCTAAGCGAGCGCAGTAAAAATCCTAATATGCAATTCAATATTCATATTTGTTAGACGCTAGGGCAACTAGCAATACGCGTTTTTGTAACACTAGTTGTATATAGAAATACTACGTCCGACTTCCCGAAACTCGAAGTGTACTCGCAGTAGACTATTATGCATACGAGCGGTGTTGTATGAAATAAAAATTTCTTAGAGTTTACCATGTCATAATTGCTATTCATAATACCGTGAGGTTCAAATTTGGCTGTAATGTGTACGAGATAGAAGCGTGCAATATACAGGGTATTAAGTTAAGTTAATTCATTTATTTTAACAGCTTGTAGAACTCGTCAAAAGAAGTTGATATACCAAAAATCACCTATTCAAAAGTTGCATAATAGTAGAGTTAGTTTATATAACTTTTACATAGGTGATTTTTGGTATATCAACTCCTTTTGGCGAGTTAAAATGAATAACTTAACTTTGAAAGCACCCTATATATGTTAGCAAGAGTGAGCTCGTACTCGGGTTGTTATTAGATTTTTCCATAGAAAAGTGTCGGTAATATTTGTGGCAAAACCAGTAAAAAAAATGATTAGGGTTAGAATCATAGAAGCATAGGATAACACAAAACCAGCAGAACTCCAGAAAATGTTACCATGCCACATTGCTTTTATAAGTATAACAACAAGTAGGACAGTTCAATTTATTTAGAACCGTGTCTATTTCTTGTATTTATTTTGATCTGTGATATAAAACTTATATTCCTATTATATTGCAACCAATATGTTTTTGATAACCTGAAATTATTTCAATATCAATATCTATCTTTAACGAAATAAGCCCTTCTTTATTCTCCGTAACTAACGGAACTTTCTTATTCCGATGCCGGATAACGCATTATTTTCTCGTTGCTGCGTAAATTAGAAATAGGGAAGATCATGACGAAGTAGCAAAACAAGAGCATTAAAAACTCTAATTTATGATTTTTCGATAATAACAGAGTTATGTTACAACTAAACTAGATATGGTAAATTCAGATTTGATAGGCGAGGTTTGGAGGGAGTTTAAACGTTAGGAATAACTTGAATTTTAAACTGAAATTTTTGTCTCATAAAATTTACACTGAATTATGGCAGAAAACATGTAAAAAAAAGAATCTGGCAACACCGTACGGGTAAATAATTTACTGCGCGTACGCTTCGAGTATTAGGAATTCCTTAGGTGTTTTATGATTTAAGGTGCAGGCAACCGTTCTTACAGGATCTGTGATACTGGTTGCATAATGGTATTGTTTGTTTGATATTTTTTCCCCTAGCAATTGAAATTATTCAAAAATTAATTATGATTATACCAAATGAATCGGTCAGAGCGAGTCCCATAGTTATTTGAATTTTTCGGGAGACAATAAAAACCGTGACACCGATAAATAGCGGTATTTACCGTAAATTTAAATAACCAGTCAAAGGTTTTCGCAGGAGACAAAAAAACTCTTAAACAAAACTGGTTTTGGGCAAAGCAGGTAAGGCCTATATATTTTTGTAATTAGTGAATTTAAAATTGATATTTTGGTGCATGTAGCACATAAACATGAAAATAAAATAATACAGGTACTGATTTTTAAATGACTCATTCAAGTACCACGCTGTCTACTGGGTGCAAAAACCACGTAACTCCTGGACTTTGATCTATTAGTATGTGGTGTTATTGAAGGGGAAGGAATGTAGTGACTTATGAGGTGTTTACCTAGCATACGTATCTACCTTCAATGAAGTATTTTCGGTAAAAAAGCTCGTAGGTAAAATAATGAACTTGTGGTTCTTGCACTGACTGTTTCAAATTATATTTGCATCAACAGAGACGTAATGTGCAATGTAATCTCATTTCGGAAAATGAGACAGTCTACAAAAAAACAAAGTTTTTACTTTATATAGATTTATTAATAACAATTTCATAATATCGTGAAATACAACCATCCACTGTAGTACATCCACATGAGTTTAGATATCAAATAATTATCTTTATTCTGGGCAATATCTTCGCAACTGATGGCAAACCTTTTAACGAATCTGCATGCTGCCTGGACCAAATGTGTGTCGACATTTTTTTAAACAATTTTTTCATGTTTTTTGGGACATTTTGAACCAAAAGGTTCTATAGAACTTTTCTCTATACTTGATAGTTTACGAAATATAAGCAATACTATATAAGTGTGAAATATGTCAGTTTCGACTTCAAAAAACAGTATAAGCAACGAAAATTATAATGTTGTCAATGTTTTTAAATATACTTCAATCAAACATTAATAGAACTGCAAAGTATCTCAGGATGTCTTCTTATTGTAAACCTTTTATTTTATGGAGAACCGTTAAGCTGGTACTTGATTAATAATTGAAAAACAAAGATTTATAATTAGATCTTCTGAAATGATTTGGGATTTTGTTAATGCATGCCTGAAGACTATTTTGGAACATTAAAACTTTCATTCTTTCATATTTTCGAGTCGAAAATGACATGCCTATTTCGCACCTTTCCAAATATTGTATCACTTTCAGGTATATCTCGTAAATTATCCATTTTAAAAAACACTTTTTTTAATGTTTTAAAAAATTGTTCAAAAAATGTGACGTAAATTTGGTGCTAGCAACATTCATGAAAAGGGGCAATTTTTGAATAAGATCATGTAAAAAGGTCCGGATCAAAATATTTTCTCATCAGATGTGAAGATATTACTCATAAAAGTACGATATTTATTCGATTTCCGAACTTGTATCATCTCATTTTGCTTTTATAAACATCCATCCAGTCTATCATACACAGGCTCAAGGGCCCTTTAGCACAGAATACGTTTACATCATAATTTCTATTATCTTACTGTATAAATCATAACAAATATTTATCTTATACAGGGTGGCGCAGAGGAAACGCATGTTTTCTGACCGAATGGTATTTCGCACAGAATAGGGATACGACCTCGCCGCACCGCCAGCAGAGAACACATGCGATGCAGTTTCAGCCATGGCACCGTGGATGACGGAGCATCGTGTGTTTGCCGTCGAGCAATTTTTTCGAAACAATGATTCTGTAGTGATCGTGCAACGTTTATGCCGTCGACAGTTCAATGTTGAACGCCACGGGCCAATTCCAGATCGAAACACAATACTCCGATGGGTTGAAGCATTTCGAAGTACTGGATCCGTAACGAAGAGGAAGCCACCTGGTCTTCCCCGTACCGTGCGGACTCCAGGCAATATCGAAACAGTGAGAAGAGCGGTCCTTGATAGTCCCCAACGGTCCACTAGGCGCCAAGCTCCAACTCTGCGTATGTCCCGTCGGTCGTTACAACGCATTCTGCATGACGATTTACAATATCATCCGTACAAGATAATGATCGTGCAAGAGCTAACGGAAAGCGATTTTGCACAGCGTAGAGAATTTTGTGCGAGAATGCGGGCCATTTTTGCTGACGATCCTGACGTCGTCATAATGATGAGTGACGAAGCACACTTCCATTTAACAGGATATGTAAACAAGCAGAACTGTAGGTATTGGGCGGCCGAAAATCCACGAGAGCTACACCAACGACCCTTGCATAGTCAAAAATTAACTGTGTGGTGCGGAATTAGTAAATTAGGTATCGTTGGTCCTTACTTTGTTGAAGAGGAAGAAAGAGCAGTAACAGTTACTTCAGCACGTTATGTTCACATGTTACAAAATTTTCTGTTACCCGAACTTCAACGGCAACAAGTAAACTTGGGAGAGCTGTGGTTCCAACAAGACGGTGCCACAGCTCACACAGCGAGAGCATCAATGGAATGGATTCGACAGATGTTTCCTGAACATGTGATTTCCCGTTTCGGCGATGTCCCTTGGCCCCCACGCTCCCCAGATTTGTCCGCATGCGACTTCTTTTTGTGGGGTTACCTTAAGGATAAAGTGTACCCTCACAAGCCTCGTACGTTACAGGAACTGAAAATTGCTATTCGTCAAGAAATTGCAAGAATACCACAAGAAATGATTTTACGTGTAATGCACAACTTTCAAGAGCGGTTGGAGATGTGCGAGCGCGAAGCAGGGCGACACTTGAGTGACGTTATTTACCATCATTAGTTTAAAAGTGCACTATCATTACTTTATTTAGCTGTAACTGAAACAAAGTTATCTTGAAAATAAAAAATGTTATGCTTAGGTGAAAATCGTGCGTTTCCTCTGCGCCACCCTGTATAACAATTTGAATAAATAAAATAAAGTCTTATTCTCTACAAGCTGCACCAAAAGACTGGAGGTTGAATTCAACTACAATTGCAGAAAATATGTTAATTTAGGCAAAGAAATAGGTAAATTTTTCCTACAAATGTGGCGACAGTAAATTTTTTTGGTGGTTGGTACCTTTAAATTCTTCAAATGTCACGATAGGCGTGGATAATTTTTGAAAAAATCGTTTTATCAAAGATTTACATTCTATGCAAAAAAGTAATAGAACAACTTTGTAGTATTGTATTTCTGAGAGAATTGATTTCC